AAGACGAAAGAAACTCATTAAAAAAAAAAAAAAACTGGAAGTGCCCTAGGAGATTTACTTGAACAGAGAGGCCAATTTTTTTTTTTTTTGCACAAAACTGCTGTTATCTTAATTTTTTTATTTGTTCTTTTTAGATATACATGAAGGTAGAGTGTATTTTGACACATTCTACATACGTAAAATATAATTTAGGATCCCATTCTTGTGGTTGTACATGATGTGGAGTTCCACTGGTCGTGTATTCACACATGAACAGAGGAAAGTTACGTCTGATTCATTCTACTGTCTTTCCTATTTCCATTCTCTCTCCCTTCCCTTCATTCCCCTTTGTCCCTGAGAAATACTGAAGTTAGCTGGGCATGGTGGTGCACACCTATAATCCCAGCTGTAATCCCAGCTGTTCCAGAGGCTGAGGAAGGAGGATTATCACCAGTTCAAAGCCAACCTCAGCTACTTACGACCTAAGCAACATAGCAAGGCCCTGTCTCTAAATAAAATATAAAAAGGGACTGGGATGTGGCTCAGTGGTTAAATGCTCCTGGGTTCAATCCCAATCCCAATAAATAAATAAATATTGAAGTGATCCATTTTAATAATGCCATTGAATTTAGAAACATGAATAACAGAATAAACAGAATTTTTATTATATAAGAACAGGAATACTGTTAGGTCCTTTCTCTGACTCAGTTCATTTCTTAGGTAACAAGATGTAGGCCTGGGTTATAGAAAATGCTATATAAGGGGCTGGGGTTGTGGCTCAGTGGTAGAGTGCTTGCCTAGCATGTGGTTCTATCCTGGGTTCAATCCTCAGCACCACATTAAAAAATATAAATAAACAAAATAAAGGTATGTGTCCACCTACAACTAAAAAAAAAAAATTAAATGCTATGTAAATGTCTTACTGTTTTTGTTATTACTGTGCTTTCAAAATTATAAACCCACTTTAATGCACTCAAGTCTAATTCATTCCCTAATCTTCATCAACATTGTTGCTCAAGTAAAAACCATCACGACGGTCAAGAGATGGGCAAGGAAAGAAAATAGGCTCTTGGATAATATTTGTGATTTTTTTTTTTTTTGTCTGTGGTTTTTCATCCAAAGATACAATGACAAAAAAAAACGAAACTTTCAGAAAATTAACTAGAAATACCTCAGAGGAAAAAAAATGAGGCTGGCCAGGCCGTAAGGTCATGATAAGGTCTACCTTTCCTGTTTGTACCGCCATTTGGAAGCATTTGGGAAGGTGTTGTGAGGGTGGGGTGAGCCAATGAGGGAGTGTGTTTTCTATAACGAATTCTAGCAGGCAATCATAATATCAATGGAATAGATCTGGGTTTTGTTATTGCTAGCAGTGCTTTAAAAAGTCAGCAATGAAATTCTCTTCAATTGTAGGGCTGACCTCTGCCATTGACCACCTCTGACCTTTATGAACATCACGGACACTAGTCCTTTGGACAATGTAAGGTACAGACCAGGGGAAAACGCTAAGGTGGTAAATGAGAATACAGAGTTTCCCCCCTACCCTACAACTCCTTTATTGTGTTTTTCTTAAAAACAAACAAACAAACAAAAAACATGAAAACCTTAGTATAAATTTCCCATAGTATCGTGTACATGTCTGGTCTTTATTAAAACTCCTGTGCTAGGGCTGGGGGTGTAGCTGAGTGACAGAACTCTTGCCTGGTGTGCCTCAGGCCTTGGGTTCCATCCCTAGGACTGGAAGAAAAAAAAAATCCTATGTTAATTTGGGATTCCATAGCTTAATAAAAAGTTCATCCAATGACAACAAGGGCTGGCCAATGGATAATGGGGAAAGTTCTGAAAGATCTGAGATTATGAGTCTTAACAAAAAAAGAAGGGTTAAAGTCTGTACGCAGTGTGGCACAGTAGGTATTGGATGCCTATCGGAGCCATTCCTTTTCCCAGAAGCACAGGGGAGTGCAAGTGTCACAGAGGTCCTAGGTCGGGGGGTCTTTGGAGCATCATGGAAGGCTGAATCCTGTAAATGGATTCCAGAGGTCTTCATTTGTCAGGTAAATTTCCACTAAATACAATCTTTATTGACTGTTACCCACTTTCTGAAGCATTAAATTCACCTGTACACTGCTTAATGAAGAGGCAGGATGATTCAGAGAGGTAAATGCCAGCAGGGGACTTTGGGTGACAATGATGTGTCAGCGTAGGCTTATTGATTATAACAAATGCATCACGCATCACGTTGGTGGGGGAATGTTGCTCACAGGGCGTTTGCATGTGGGAGGGCAAGGGATGGATGGGAATTCTCTGTACTTTCTGCTCCATTTTGCTGTGAACCTAAAACAGCTCTAAAAATATTTAAATACAAACAGCCAACAGGGGAGGAGAACTACGGCTATGGCATAAAAAGAATTTGTTTCATTTGCATGGTTCTTTAAAACTTACATAGTTGGCCAAGTGAGGTGGCGCATATCTGTAATCTCAGCGGCTGTGGAGGCAGAGACTGGAGGATTGCGATTCCAAGCCAGCTTCAGCAATTTAGTGAGGCCCTAAGCAACTCAGTGAGACCCTGTCTCTAAACAAGATGTTAAAAAGGGCTGGGGATGTTGCTCAGTAGTTAAGGCCCCTGAGTTCAACCCCCGCTACCAAAACCAAAAACAAACCACCTTACATAATTGTTTCAGTCTCTCACATGATGCTATGAAACTAGAAGAACAGGTGTCTATATTTCCATTTTTCAAGATGAGGAGATGGACGCTCAAGAGCTAATGAAACTTGTCTTGGTGTAAAGAACAAATGAACATAAAAGTCAGGTCTTAAAAACCAGGCCTCTCATTCAAAGTCCAGTGACCACCGTGCTTTTCACCAGGATCTCTGATGATCCACAAGCTTTAGAGGAAAAACTCAAATCTTATTCCTGTTTCATATTGGATAGTCAAAGTAAAGGTTTTATTGATTGTCAAAGTAAGCAAGACATTGGAAGAAAGAAATGTAAGTAAAATTATGACAGAAAAGGAAGATTATCCAAATTATATGGCACTAATACCCTTTCCAGAGCTCCAGACATGGATAGACTTTGCTTTACGATATCATGGACCCCTTTCAGTAATCAGAAAGTGACTGCAGCCCAGAGCCCTGGGACTTGGCTGGTTCTCGTTCTAGAAATGCTGGTACTGGTTTCACAGAGAGGGAAAGAGGGGAAGGCCTGACAGCTGTCCTGTGTAGTCCATCCCATGGAAAATAATAATTTCACATAAAGCAGGTCTCCAAACAAGTTAAGGCTTTCTGCCTTGCAGGCAGAAATGAACAACGGTTCATTTCAGAGAACAAAATTCTCAGTATTCCAAAGAGCTGATTTTTAAGAAGCTTTCACCACCACAGAATTCGGTAAGGCTAAGCTGCTTCCATGTTGCCAATAATGTGGAAGAACAAGAGGCAGGTATGTAAAAACCACTGACATTTCACCTCATTAGAGAGCACACATCAGTGATGCTATAATAAGATATTTACGGAGTTTGGGTGTTGATCTGAGCCCTATACCAGGCACGTGTAGTGGCTCATTTTTTAGATAAGCTAAAAATATCCCTTTGTAATGCCCTTTGTCATACTCTCTGTGGCATTATTTTTTCCCCTTTCTTTCATCTGTTCGTCCCTAGCCTGGAATCTCATTTAAATGAGATAGAATCTTTTTTTGAACCAGCAATGAATCTTAACACAGAAACACCCAGAGAGCTAACCCTGACTTCAATCTACAATAAGAGGTAGACTTTGGTATCAAAGCTGAGGTTTACCAGAATAAGGTTATGGTGGTGTGATGTGGAAAGAGAGAGGTGGGATAGTGAATTTTAGGTAACGTTCAGGAAAAAAGATCCAAAGGACAAACATGGGACTGCCCCATTAGACTGTCTAGTAAACAGCCTTTGCTCGCAATGCTCTGCCTTCCAGGATGGCCCAGGGACCTGTGACTGTGCTCTGGAAGCATTTACCACGACCTGCACAAGGCCGCTTATGATGATGGATGGCAAGGAGGAGGGTGGTATTTATCCAGCATGAAAGCTTTATTCTGTTTCTTCCAACAGAAATGTAGCATTCCCACTGCAGGCTCAAGTTCTCTGCCTTCTGATCATCCACAGATCATCCCTGCCAACAACCTGGTGCCCCCGGAGAGCTCAGCAAAGCTCGCTCACCAAGCCCCCAACTTGCTAAATAATGAATCCTGTTTCCTTTTGAGTCCTCCCTACTTCCTGACCATACAATCCTCTAATCAAAAACACCCAAACAGGGTCATTTCTGTCCTCATAGAGGATAATATAATTTCAACAAGATCATGGAGTGCTAATAAATTACACCCAAACCCCAATGCACTAAAATTTTCTATCAAGCAGAGCCACCTAGTGGTAGAACGGAATGTATATTTAAAATTTTCCATTTAATTCCTCTCCTGTAATAAGCCAGTCCAGGTGGATTGGATTTTTTTTAATTTTTTTTAAGTGCTCCTTTTATTCATTCTTATTTACAGTTACCCGCTTTGAGAATGCCCTCTCCATCTGTTGTCCTTACCAAACAGCTATCTATGCAAGGTAAACAACCCTAGGGTTATAATCAGACATTTTTATGACTAAAACAGAAGCCTCACTGGAAGAAAATATCAATATTAATTTATTTCTAAAGGTAAAGAGCCATTAGGATGTTTATTTTGTATTTTTCCAAAACAAAACTCACTTCTTTTCTCCATATACATATAACTCCATGTAAATTGCCATAATAAAATTGAGAAGTGTGGCTGGGGTTGTGGCTCAGCGGTAGAGCGCTTGCCTAGCATGTGCGAGGCCCTGGGTTCGATCCTCAGCACCACATAAAAATAAATAAATGAAATAAAGGTGTTGTGTCCCACTACAACTAAAAAGCAAATATTAAAAAAAAAAATTGATAAGTGCAGCCAAGGTGAAGAAAAAGTGCTCCTCTGTGGTTTCTAGTCCCCTTCCTGCCATAAGCATATGACTTGTGGTAGAAATTAGAAGTACCTTGGGTTGTGGTTTGATTCCTTTTCTTCTTTTAAAGTAGGTAAACATTCATAGTCGGCTAGAACAGAACAAAAGCAAACTCATTGTTAGTCATCGAAATTCTATTTTCTATCCCCAAAACTGACACACTTGAGCATCGAAATTGCCTTGATCTGTGTGGTTACCTGTGCAAAAATGATCTCACTCTAGGGAATTTAGAGGTTAAAAGATTAATGGTGGCAAGGCTCCTGAAATGAAAAAAGCACTAATAACGCAGATTCGAGACTTGAGCCTGCCTCTGCCCCTACTGGAAAGGGCGTAATTCATCACTGCTTGGTTTTCATTCCCCGTGGAACCTCTGTGTTGTTCTAAAAGCCAGAATCTGCATCCTTCAGGCTAGACACTGGATAAAATGGCTGCACCCAGGTCCTGATGAGCCTGCAGAATGATTTCAGTCAGACCACTCAGCAGAGAAGAGCAGGGAGGAAGGTGAGGAATGGCCCCCTTCTTAGAATCAGCCAAGTCCTCTTCTATTACACCACCCTTATTTTTAAGAAAAAAAAAAAAAAAGAATTCCCCTGGATATACCCCTTATGTCTCAAAATAACTCTCCACTTTCATTGGCAAATTGATGTCTTTTGGCAGTTTTCTGGTTTTAGTGAATGTGAAAGAATTATTATTTGTATTTCACAAAGTCTCAGGTGTGAAAGGAAATACAACAAAATATTGACAGAGACTGTCATTGGTACTGGAATCCTCCTTTCCACTTTTTTTTTTTTTTGCATTTTCCAAATTCTACTATGTGTGCATCTATAAACAGGAACAATAAGATATAACCACTTAGGGACAAGGTCCATGACCTACATCCATCTTCAAATGCTTTATGGGGCCCTTTGTCCCTCAGTATGAAAAATTGTTGGAAATTATACAAGTTATCGAGCGCTTCTAATCTTTTGGAAAGCTCATCTAATTTTAATAACAAATTTCTGGATTTGAGAAAATTCCATTGTAGGGTGTTAAATCTGACAGACCCAGGGCATTTTTCTTAAAGATAAGTTAAAAATACAAATTATATGATAACATAAATAGTGGATTTCACCTGAACAATTACATCTGAGCATTAAAATAATTTATTGATTTTTAGAGAAAAAATATTGATCATCATTTTAAGACCAATTATTGACTTAATGGGAAGTAAGGAACATAGAGTACTCTTACTGCCAGATATCAATTGGAAGTTGTTATATTTAATATTACTATCTATATAAAAAAATTAACATTTTTTAGTTATAGTTGGGCACAATACCTTTATTTTTATTTGTTTATTTTTATGTGGTGCTAAGGGTCAAACCCAGCACCTCGAAAGTGCTAGGTGAGCGCTCTACGGCTAAGCCACAACCCCAGCCCCTCTATGTAGAAATTTTTGCAGTGATGGAAGTATTCTAGATTCAGCCTAATACGTAGCCCCCTGGTTACTGATCACTCAAAATGTGATTACTAAAACTGAATTTTATTTGATCAATTTGAATAGTCATACATGGCTACCATTTATTGTATTGGACAGCATAGATCTCTGTAAAGTACATTTGATAGAGTTACTCTCATATACAAATCAAAATTATAGATTTCTAAATTCTATTATCCATAAGAAAATGCCAGATGCTTTTCCCGGATAATTTGGTCTCAGATTTCCTTGCTTGGAAAAAAAGACATGGAGCCTGCGGGTGTATCTCAGTGGTAGAGAACTTGTGTAGCATGTGCAAGGCCCTGGTACCATTCTCAGCACCACAAAACAGAAAAGAAAAAAATAGATGGTTTTCTGCTTGAAAGAGGTCATTTCAACAACTTGTACGCAAATAAAAACAAGTTGCAATAATCCATGTAATAATTCCACTGGATATTTAAGGATCTATCAGACCTAAGTTAATTATCTACATGCATTAGATAGATAGTAGTATTTGGGCTCTGTCACACTCCAGGATTGATTCAAGTATTTATTTAAAGTTATTGCAGCCTTCTATTACTAGAAAAGAAAGCAAAAGCTTTTGGTTTCCACCTACCATTTCTATTCATGCTGTTCATCCATTTATCCAGTTCTTCCATCTCTATTTCCATGACAGATGGTGTGTCTTCCTCGAAAATAGGGCTAGAGAGAGACAGCAAAAGGATTGTTGTGGGGTGGCGGGGAGGGTCGTGCGTTGCATCTCATTCTGAGAGTCCAGAAGGATAATTCTGATGAAATTGGACTTGATTCAGTGTCTGCCACTCCAGGTTAGCCTGGGGTGACCCTGCTCAAGAGTATTGAGCTCTAACGGGAAGAAATGCGAAACAAACTCACGTCTACCCCTGATCCCAAACGGGAAGGCCCACAGGCCCAGGGAGTGGGCTAGAAAGGGAACCCGGGGGTCTGGAGGTCTGCAGGCCTCCTCAGACCACGTTTAGTATTTCAGCCTTGCTTCATTTCACTTCTCCTTCCTTGGGGTCTTGGATCAGTGCCCCAGATCAAGAGACCACGGTCAAGGGGCAACTTTTATCACCTCTCCCTTCAATTCCCAGGCTTTCCTAGAGAAATGGAGCTGTTACTTTCAGAAATCCAACAGTCCAGGCTCCCCGGTGCCGCTCCAGACTTGTTTACAGACTCTAATACCCCGGGGCCAGAGCGCAGGGCTAAGGTGCAGAAACCCCAAGTGGGTGCAGATGGAGTCGCGGGAGGAAGGACTACGCCCCAACCACCGCGGAGGCGTGGAGCTGGGGAGAGGAAGTGAAGCTACCGGAGGGGGGGTGGGGGAGTCGCCCTAGAACTCGGGTCAGAGTGTCACCTCTCCCTCCCCCCCTCCCCCTCCCCCTCCTCCTCCCCTCCTCTCCCGCCCTGTCCTTGCTGGTCCCTGCGCAGCGCCAACTTTCGGCTTCTGAGGGCCCCCTTCCGCAACGCCAGCTCTAGAATCTTTCCGGGTGATAAATTTGTTAATCAGAATCGATTAACCGACGTCCTTGACATACATCCAGGGTCAGAATATCGAACCACTATGCATTCGACACTGGTAGCAGTCAGAAAGAGAGTCTTTTTCTGAGCAGATGACAATGAAATACAGCAGCTCCCACCCGGCCTTCCGCTCTGGGTAAGATCTGGGGACGCGGGCGCACCCCGCCTTGCGCCGCTAGGGGCCATCTCGGTGCTCGGGGGCCCGGGAAGTAGGAGAACCCTGCAAGGGCATCGGAGCCCAGGAAAAGGCCGAGGGCTCATGTCCCCTCCCTAGCTGTTCTCATCCAGGAGCGAGCAGGTTGGAGGAGGTGGGGAGGACTCACACTTTCAGGTTTTCACTTCCCAGTTCATCTAAAAGGGAATAAATATAAAGGTCAAGTTAGTTTTGTCCACTAGCATCTACAGCTGAAGTCTTCTTTACAAAGCAATCCAAAAAAATTTTAAGTAAATTACGTTTTTTTTAAAAAAAAATATTTCTTAGATGTTAGGGACCCTTATTTTATTCATATTTAAATGCGGTGCTGAGAATGAACCCAGTGTGTGACACATGCTAGGCAAGCGCTCTACCACTGAGCCAAAACCCAACTCCAGTAAATTCCATTTTTAAAGGAGCAATAAGTAACTTCCAGGTTGAACAGTGCAGATTGCCATATTGACATGAAGCCTAATGGGTGTGAAATCTGTTTTCTTTGGGGTAAGGATGCTTTCCTGAGCTCACTTCAGATCAGAGGTATCTTGTACCTTTTTTATATCCACATGAAGAGGAAAACAGTGGTAAAGGAAAGAAAGGTAGGGTTCAGCTCCAGAGCTTGCTCCTTGACCACCCTCAATAAAATGTCCCAGTTCAAAACTCCAGGGCTTTATCTCCCAGGGCACACATGCTGAACACTGCGCCACTGTCCTCTGTCCTGAAGCAGGATGTGGGTCACTCCATCAAAGACTCCTCCTGAAACTGCGCTTTTTACCCCAGCTCTTTCAATGACTGGATCTAAGTTCTGAGCTTCAGTAACCTGCCCTCAGGGTGGCTGCTCCACCTCTATTTGAGAAGGACACATCTTTCAGTGTTCCCGAGGCTCAGCACCCTGCTTGCTTCCTCCAGGAGTGTTGGTCACAATTTCTCATCCATGCATCTGCTTGGTTCTGTTTTGCCTGTCTTTCTCACTAGCCTACAGCTCCCCCAGGACAGAGATCATGTCTGTCCTCTTCACATCATCCCCAGCTCCTGTCCTACTTACACAGTACCTGGCAAATGCCTAGTAAATATTTATTGAATCAATGAATAGTCTTAATCTTGATTGTTCATCCCTGGGGTTAAATTCACACCAATCTGTTGGATGGCATTATCATGATAGACATCCAGCCCACCTGCTTTTGCTGCTGATGATTGGGCTAAAAGTCAGGGAAACATTTTACAAAACGTCTCTAATGAACATCAGATTCCAGATGAACATGTGGCAAGAACCACAGCCTGATGTCTGGGCCCAGGCTCTATTTTGTTTGGCAGGGAGACCAGAGAAATGAAGCAACAATGTCAAATGAATGGATAGTGGATAGCGCCACCGTGTTTTTTATGAAGTGAGAACGATCAGAAAGAAAGCCACTCTGTAGAGGTCCACCCAATAGTCAGATGTTCCTGATCTTGGCAGTCAGAGGCCTGCTTTTATCTGGCCTACAGAAGTGCAGGTCCCAGCGAGGCAACCCAACCAGCAGGCACCTGGAACAGACCTCCTGGCAGCTGTGCGCTGTGGTGGTTTCCTGCAGTTGGCAAGCATGAACGGCATTGCCAGTCCAGGAAAGCTGGGCGCACATTTAAGTTTCATGCCATGACTGCCTGCTTTGGAGGAGCTGTTATATCCTCCTGCTCCCCAGTAGGAATCTGAAGCTTCCTGCAGGTACCTGACTCCTCAAAAAATAACTTGGAGACTGGGGAAAGGAAACTATCTGCATCTTACATGTTTTTATATATTCATCTCTTCTAAAATTTATAGGCTTGTTCCATAAGGGATTTTACTATAAATAAAGCCCCTAGGTGATTGAGTCTCCCCACGGGGAACCCATAAAAATCACCCTATTTTGTCCCTCCTTCTCTCCTCCTCTCCCTCTTTGCCTACCTGCTTAATCCCCTCCCCCCCCAGCTAATTTCTCAGAGAGCATGTGTCTCCACAGCCCCACTGTTGTGGGCAATGGATTTATCTTTGTAATCCGGGTTCCCTGAGGGCTTGGAGGTGAGCAAAAGCTCGATTGCATGCAGATGATGGAAAAGTTAAAAAACCCATTACCAAAGTGCTCCAGATGCACCAAATGCGAAGCTCCTATAATCAGTATTAAAAGAGAGCAAAAAGCCTTTTGTGGCCTCCTCTTCCCTGCTCCATGGCCATTACTCCTGCCCCAGCCGCCATGGCAACAGAAAAACATCTGGGAGAGTAAAACATTAAACCAGGAGGGAGACCAATTACTTGTCCTCAGCAATCAGGCCCTGCCCGCTCCACTCCACCTGGCCTACAGCTCTTTATTAATAGCCACCTATTCCCTTTGCAACCCAGAGGCAAATGCAGCTTTTAGCAGCCCCCCTCCCTCTCCCCCCTGGATTCCATTTTCCCCTTAGAGTCCTTCCATTTCATACCCTCCTCCCCACCTTGTCCTCCTCCCTCACTTCCTGCATCACAACCACTTGGCCTGACAATACCCCACTCCTAGATCCTCTCCTCTGTGAATGGGATGGTGGGATAATTGGGGTGTGGGCTGGGGACACAGGAGCTGCAAGAGACTGGCTTCCTTGTCTTATTTCCAAGCTGAGCAGTAAGCAAGTCTCTTTCCTGAGAGATTTACTGAGCAGGGCCCAACATCATGTAGCCGCTGTCGGCTCAAAGTGACAGTTTCCTGCCAGCTGCATCTCTTTCAAGACATCTATTACCCCCTCCCCCTGCCCCAAACACACTCTCACAGCAAGGTACTTAATAAATGTTAAATGGTAACAACTGCAAATGTAATGCCTGGAAGCTTAGGAAGAGGGATCGCAAAACACCAGGTTACTGTGCAATATTTCCTTTTCCCCCCCGGACATGAAAAGACAGGCTCAAAGGGAAAAAAAGATAATTTAGGGGGTTTAGCTCAGTGGTAAAGCATTTGCCTAGCATGCTGAGGCCCTGGGTTCAATCCCCAGCACCACATAAAAAGTAAAGAACAGAGGAAGGTGTTGTGGCACAGTGATAGAGCACTTGTCTAGCACAGGTGAGGCACTAGATTCCATCCTCAGCATCATGTAAAAATAAATAAATAAAATAAAGGTATTTAAAAAAAAAGCAACAAGAAAATTTTAAAAAGTCATCTTGGACTAGCTCAGTGATAGAGCGTGTGCTTAGCCTGCCAAAGTCAGCACCGAAACAAAACCAAGGGTATTTCCAATCAGATGAAGTATCCATTCTGAAAGTGTTGGCCACGTCCTCCCCAGGTGTCACCAGACCAGGGTCTATCATGTGAGGAAAGAACCAGTGTTTCTCTGCCTACTTTCTGAGGGAACGTCAAGTGTCCAGGTGCCCAGGCCTGCAACTAAGCACTCCTTTGGAACTATCCAAGCAAAATGCTGGTTTCTTTGATTGAGTTTGACAGTTTTGTTTTTCCTGAAAAAAAAAATTAGTTATTTAAATATTCTTTTGTCTTAGACTGGTATTATAATGTTAAATAGAAATGGATGGAGGAAGTGGTTGCTAACCATTTAGCATTCTGTTCAGAAGAGATATTTATGTTTATATTAAAGATGTGGCTAGTGAATAAAAGAAAAAAATCAACAAGTTATCTTTATCAAAAAATTTTATGAGAAGCAGTTGGTTTGAATTTCTAAGTTTTCTATATTGTGATTTCCTACAGTGAGAATATTTCAACTAAAAATGTGGTGCTGATTTGTAGTAGGGATAATGTGCCAATTTGCTTTTGCCTCTGAGAGTAGGTGTTCTTTAAAAAATATTCTGACATCCTGTCATCAACTCATTCACTCAACAAACATATACTGAGCAGATAATATGTGTGGGTACCATATAGCTAAAGTGATAATAATAACATGTGAACGTTTACTTAGAACTTATGTCAGGCACTTTTCCCCTAAGTACTACATACATCATAGACAGATAGATGATAGAGGGAAATGGATGCATCCTTCATTTAATTACAATTCTATGTGCTAAGTATTGAATTTGCCCATTTTATGGATGAGGAAACTGAGAGATTACAGAGCTGGTCTTGCAAAAGCCAACCAAGGAGTGTGGTTCTACAATCTGTGCTCTCAACCGCAGTGCCACACTGTCAAACAGGAATAAGACAACTTCTTGGCTCTTTTGGACTTTAAATAGAACACAATGTAGCAGGAAAGAAAGATAAAAACAAAAACACACAAAAAAAGGTCACTTGCTTATGATGACAACATGAGTTTTGTGGACAGTAAGTGTGAACAAAGTGCTATGACAACCCAGAAGTGGTGATGCATTTTGCTTGGGGAATGTCTCTGTAAGAGCTTTAGCCCTGGGTACTGCAGAATGGGGTGGCCGTTTGCCAAGCAGACAAGAAGGAAATTCCAGACAGAAGGCAGAGGGCCGTCTGTCCGTGGTCCCTGGAAGTCAATCTGTGATCTGGCAACAGCAAAAATTTCAAGTAGGGCTACAGGGTGGGGATGCTTGGGCCCTGAAGGAGGATGAGGCCAGTTCTTGTGTGTAAACAGCCCTTGAACAGACAGACTTGCACAGTGCAGTTCAGTGAAAATCACTTTCTGAATCTAAAACCTACAAACGTGACCCTTTACTAGACACCTCCCTCCTCGGAGTCCATTAATTAAAGCAGACTGTGGGGCTATGGTTTGGGGCAGGAAGACCTTACTTTGCCTGAGGTTGAACAGTGGGATCCAGGTCTGTGTCCATGTAGTCCCTGTTACTCTACTCCTGGAGGCTGCAGGGGGATGCCTTAAGCCTGCAAGTTGAGGCCGACCTGGATAACGGGAGGCCTATCTCAAAAAAAGAAGTGGGGTCCAGCCAGCTCTGCCGCCTCTTGCCTTATCTTTAGCTTCTGCAGAAACTCCCACTTGACCACTGTTATTAGGCCACCCTGTAATTTCAAGGGGTGAAGAAACTTGTACTTCCTGCTTCTAGGGTGCCTATTTTATGAGCCATGAAGGGAAATGCACTTTGGGGCTTCTCCCCCAGCTCACATTTGCCTCATCTGCTGGCTTTGGAAATAGCTGTTATAGTTTCTGCAGAGAGCTAAGGGCTGCCCCCGCGCAGGGACCCTGGGGGAAGCATTTAGGCCAAGGTCATGACCTCAAAGCCCCAGGTGCCCTGTTACTGGGCCAGAGGGACCCAGAGCAAGTTTTGCATATGACTCTGTGTGTTATCAGGAAACCTCTTATTCCTTGAGTAATTTCCAGAATGACTTTTAAAAGCTGAACTTAAGATCTGGGAAAGTAGCTCGTGGTAAAGCACTTGTAGGTATGTTTCCCAGAATCAGAAAAAGAAAAAAAGGAGAAGAAAAAAACCTTCAATTTAAAAAAATGAGTCAGCATCATTTTTACCAGCACAAGACAAAAGTACCCCAAGACTGCCTGGGACCTAAAACTACCCCCAAAGCTGGTATCTGATGATTCCATGCTGGACTTTCATGCTGCTGATCTTGGGAATTTTCTGTCTTGGTTTCCAGATTGATGTGAATAATCTTTAACCAGTCAGGAATCACCTTGCAAAAGTTTCAGTGGGAACAAGAACACTGCTTCCCCGGTCCTTTTGTGGTAAAGACCCCAAGGTCTCCAGCCTCCATCCCTAGCCCTAAATTGACCCACTGCCTCACCTCCTGACCCTCTTCCCACCTGGTGGGAAACATCACACTGGCCTCTTGGCCAAGACTATACACCATCTGCACTGGATACCAAAATGGCAGTGCTATGTTTTAAATTTCAAGGTAGACTGAAAACATGTCCTTAAAAGAAAAACAAAAAGGACATGCCATTATTAACTGCTTAAATGTGTCATTGAAATGTATCACTTATCATCACATAGTGGTTTGTTCTTTTTTTGGTTGGGGGGGCGGGGGTACCAGGGATTGAACTCAGGAGCACTCGGCCACTGAGCCATATCCCCAGCCCTGTTTTGAATTTTATTTGGGGTCTCACTGAGTTACTTAGTGCCTCACTGTTGTTGAGGCTGGCTTTGAACTTGCAACCCTCCTGCCTCAGCCTCCCCAGCCGCTGGGATTACAGGTGCTTTTGTTGCTTAATTTTGAAACATCTCACTTCCTTCTACCCCATCCCAAACCCTAAACGGATGTCAGGAGAATACTCACATGTCTGTAAAGCACTTTGAGATCCTTGGCTAGAAGGCTCTGAGTAAAAGAAAAAAAATGATACTGTTTTATTGAGTCCTCATTAACCTGTAAAGCAATTTTCTGAAAATAAGGATACAACAAATATTTACCTTGTTTAGTTCTCTTTCTCCTACAGTACCTCACAAGGAGTGCCACTAATAAAAGTAGGAGGACCGAGGAAATCAATGGGATCAACACCATTAATATAAACTCTAACTGATCTGTGTCCTCGGCGATGTGGATAGAAGTCGTATTTGCAGATACTGTTTCTGGGGTTGTTGTAGTCAACACACTTGAGGTGGTCTCTTCAGCTGTGGCTTCGTTTTCTGGGGATAGAGATGTATCTTCTGATTCGTCACCATTACCTGTGGGGACATGCACAAAACTGAGATTGCCATGGAGACAGAGCTGGTGTGTTATGGTTTCAATGATTTTTGAATTTATCCTAGATACATTTGGTGATAAACTTGATCCACTGCACTTGGCCTTCCAGTTCATGGTGATACCGTGTATTGATTTAACATAAATGGAGCTTGAGCTGTGACTATATTGAACATGGAATCAGTGCCCAGAGATACTCCTTCCATCAATGCAGGCAGTTTAGCTTTGACCAGACACTTTGGACACACTTCAGCCCGGGGTGTGGGAGGCTTTGTCCTGTCAAGGATAATTTCCCAAGCCAAGTGGTGTGACATTCCAGGTGATCGCCTATAGGGTATCACGATATTTTAATAAAATTTCTGAACAAATCTAAATGTATACATACCGAAAATTCAGTGAACGACCTCTAACCCATTTAGATGTCAAGAAATGGGGCTGGGGACACGGCTCAGCCTTAAAGCACTTGCCTAGCAAACTCTAAGGCCCTGGGTTAGATCTCCAGTACCGCCAAAAAAAAAAAAAAAATTAAATGTAAGCAGGTGGAAAGGAATTCACTCTGTGTCCTAATTTTTAATAAAAAGTACTTATCAATAGGAAGGGATGTTGGGATTTGGAGTGATTACTTAGGTTTCAACATTAGGCCTTCCATTCTGCAAAGTACCAAGTCTGCCCGTGACAAATCCTTCTGGACTCTAAATAAAAAATATGCTGCATATCTCATTTGTAAAGTAAGATTCTCCAAGAATATTCTCCAAATATTCCCTTGGAGAATAAGAAAACTCCACCAATACTTAAAGTTATTCAATAAAATACGTCTGTGGGGCTTTCCTTACTGACAAGGTACAAGCAAGTTTATTCTGTTTGAACCCTGGGTAGTATTGCTAGCCCAGCCTATGGCAGGTCACAAAGATAGTGTACGTGGAATTTCTCTGCATGGTGAAAGGTGAGATGCAAACGGAGAAGCTGGCTGCTTTATGTCACACTCTACAGTACAGATTAGACCATGACTCCACTGAATGACGGACCCAGACACAGCAGAGACAATTCAATATGTTAGCCTTGTGATTCAGGTTAAAACAATAACAATATTTGTTTGGTCACTATTATGAAAGGAGTGTTTGTGTGCACCCCCACCCTATTCATATATTAGCCTTAAGGCTTAATCCCCAAAATGATGATGTCCCCAATATGATGGTGTCAGGTGGGGGCATTTAGGAAGTAGTTAAGTTTAATGAGGTCATGAGGGTGGGGCTCCCCAAATGGGATTAGTGCCCTTATAAGAAGAGGAAGAAGAGACCTGAGCCCTCATTCTGCCTGCTCTCTCTTTGCCCTATGAGGATGCAGCAACCAGGCAGGCAGGAAGAGGGTTCGCACCAGACCCTGAATCTGCCAGTACCTTGATTTTTTAACTTCTCAGTTTCCAGAACTGTTTAAGCCACCCAGGCTGTGGTATTTTGTTATGGCAGGGGAACTAAGACAGGCACAGTTAATTATTTTGGTTTTATAGATAAACATTTCAGTCTCCCACTTTCATGTCCCAGTAGGAAGAACCAATCAAAAAATAAATAAACTTTTAGCTTTCCCTACTGTCAAGGTAATAAAAAAAGAAAAAGAAAAATAGAGTGTGAAGTTAAAAGCTTCATTTCTGTTCTGGGCCCTCTGAGATCCAATCTTTACCACTCCAAGTGTGATCTTGGGCAACTTTTCGTAATCTTTTGGTCCCAGTATCTATCATTTAATGACAAACTGCAGAATATAACTTGATTCTGATCGAGAGTTTTGGGTGGCATTTACCAAAGTGATTATCAAATGGATTCCCTGTTCCTGTGGGAGACTGAATTCCCTGTGGCATATTTACATATGCACATAGCATGCTTTTTAAAGAATTCTTTCAGCGTTTCCTTCCCTTTCCCATGTCTCCACTCTGTCTCTCAATCTCCTGCTTCTACTCTACTGATGTCCCCTATATCTTTATGATACCAATCTTCTCCACCTTTCCTTCAGTTTGCTCTAGCTTCCACATATGAGAGAAAACATTCAACCCTTGATTTTCTGTGTCTGGCTTATTTCCCTTAGCATGATGTTCTCCATTTCTATCCACTTACCAGCAAATGCCATAATTTTATTCTTCTTTGTGGCTGAGTAAAACTCCATTGTGTATGTACACACACACACACACACACACACACACACACACCCCATTTCTTAATGCTTTCATCTATTGACAGGCATCTGGTTGATTCCCTTCACACTATATTTTTCCTTGAATCGGGGAGGAAAGGAATGCTTGCAAATCATGAAGTTTGGCAATAAGGTGGAGAGCAAGAGAGGGAGCCTAGGAGGTAGCTTTCTGGCACTAGGGCAACATGAGCAAAAGATTTCCAGAAGCCTCAGCTTTGCCAGGGCTCTTGCTGAGGCTCTCACCCCAGATGTACTGCAAACAAAGCTTCCCAGAATGATCTTTTCTGTACCTCTCCAGGGGAGACAGATGACGCTCCCAGTGGAACACTCAACCCTCTTTGAGTCCCCACTTGACCTATAGCCACAGGAAAAGAGAAAATAGGGAAGAAAATAAGTTAGCAGGAATAACGAGGACATTTCAACAATTGGAAATGAAAGAGAAATGGAAAGAAGTGCCCCTGATGGTCCTGGGTTGGGTACATGAGTTTTCCAGCATGAGACCATGATGGTCACAGGTGGCCCTTCATGGAATTGTGTAAAGGAGCCAGAGATTCTCTCCATAATGCACATCCTCACATATGTCTTCTATGTGAAGCACCCCTTGCGCTCTGAGATTATTTTCTAGTGAATTTTTCCTTTTCTTTTCTTTTTGAGATGGGGTCTCACTATGTTGTCCAAGCCATCATACATCTCCTGAGCAGCAAGAGCTACACGCCCCGCTTCTAGTGTCTATTTAAATAAATAAGAATCAACGGTTCATACCAATCTCTCCCATACCCTCATTTTATTTTTATTTTTCTTACAAGTATTAATTTCCAGGGACTCCTATGACAGCCTTCTTCACAGTTCTCCCTGCCCCATCGACCTGAACTCCGTGATAGTCTTAAAATAATGAATAACAGTACCTGGCATTGATTGATTGCTTACTTCCTGATGGGTACTAGGATAAAGGTGTGTTGGTTGATTTGATCTTCACAACTTTATTGTCCACCTCGAATAGGGTGCCAAGAGTCAAATGAGGGCTCTGGTCATAGCTCTGTCACTTAGTTGTAGGAATTTGGAAAAATTCTTTAATCCCTTAATGACTTAATGCTCTGTTTGGTACAACAACAACAACAAAAATATCACCTCTTGGGTCCCCAGTTTCCATCTAGTCCTATATCTCTGTTGTTTCCAAAACATTTAACTTGTTTGTTTTTTTTTAAAGAGAGAGAGAGAGAATTTTTTTAATATTTATTTTTCAGTTTTCGGCGGGCACAACATCTTTGTATGTGGTGCTGAGGATCGAACCCAGGCCGCACGCATGCCAGGCGAACGCGCTACCACTTGAGCCACATCCCCAGCCCAAGCTTGTTTTTAATCTAAAATTTTGGACATGAATATACCCATGGTACTAAGCTCAAAAAGGAAGTTTCTCTATCATCCTTTTTCCCCAAGTCCCTTGGTTTCCTTCCCCAGAGATAATTGCTCTTTCTGCTACCTTCCAGAGAAACCCTATCACACTAGTAAGTATTATTTCCTGTTTTCTTTTCTTTCTTTTTTTCTTTAACACAAATGGTAGCAAAATTTATATACTGTCCTGAATCTTACTTTTTTCTCTTCCAATTTCATCTTGAAATTATTTCATGAGTGTATACAGAGAGCTTTCTTTGCCCCCTCCCCATTGTTTGGAATTCTTTTTTGATGGAAATCTAGATTGTTCTTTTTGTATTTCCAAGCCTGCTACAATATCACTGTGGTTCCTTCCAGGTTTGCACAAGGGCAAGTACAGGGTACCTCAGAAGGGGGGAGGCAGGAGAGGCAGAGCTGGGCACAGCATCACATCTGACCTCAAGGCTTCTCCAAGACAACCCTCACCCAGGGCTCACTTCGGGGGGAACTGGCAGGATTCAGCCAGGGAAAGGCCAGATGTCCAAGGATCTGTGAGGTCAGAGGAAAGTGGAAACCACTGGGGATCAGCCCTAAGAGTCATAGACAGGGGAGTGGAAAAGGGTCCGGGGGAGTGTCACAGAATGAAATTAGTAACCAGGAGTGGGTGGGCCGGCAAAGCGCCAGAGGTGAGATTTAGGAAAGAAATCAGAAGTGGATGAAATCAAGATGGAAACCAAAGGAAGAACCAGGGGTCACACCAGTGGACATGAGTGGAACAAACAGACAGCAGCTCGGGAGACTTTCTCCTAAAGTATTGTAGCTGTTCGCCCGTGACCAGCAGGGTCACAGCAACTTTTAACCCAGTGGACATGGGTTCCCCTGACACCACCTGCAGCCTCCCGTAGCCCAGCTCCAGCCTTTTCTAGTAAACATTTGCCAAGGCCCATTTAGTCCAGGGTGACTTCCTGTGGGAGCCTCCTGGGTACAAGGCTTCTTCCAGCCCCGGGGTCCAGCAGCACTGTGGAGGAAAGCAGGATTCCTCTAGTGATGGGCCCCGTGGGAGTTGCAGGGACAGTTCTTGTGTTGATCCAAGGCCCCTTGGACACAGCCGTGTTATCACTGAAGGGAGATAAGATCTGAATTCAGAAGAGCTGGGCTTGAGACCTGCTGTCAGTCTCTAGCTGGGAGACCAGGGAAGAGTCCTTTCCCTTCTAGAACCTTCCATTCCTTAAAAGACCCAAAAGTAAGCCTTCTGATCTGCCTCTCCCACAGTGTTAGCATGAAAGCAGAAGAAATAATAAACGTTAGGCAAGAATTCTCCGTTGAACTACATCCCAGACCATGTAATAATGAATGTGAAGATGCTTCCAAAGCCTTAAAGGGGCATGCACAGGCCAGGTGCTGGTCGATTTGTTATTTTTGTGTCATACTC